TCCAACAGGCCGGCAGTAATCGCCGTGCCGACAGCGTCGTTAAACGTCGGTTCTGAGCGACGACGGCGTCACTTGCACAGCCCCGGCACCTGCAGCCCTGCCCGGGCGCGGCTGTAGAGCGGCCCGGAGCGGCGCCGCGGCGTCATCCCCGCAGGCGAGCCCGGCCCTCCGCAGCTGCCGCCGCGCTCGCACTCCTCCCCCGGGCCAACCGGGCGCGACGGCCCGACTAACTGGTCGCTGTCACGGATTTGCCGAGGTCGATTGCGCCGCGGCTCGGCCATCCTGCCAGGCTCGTCAGATCTCGGTCCGCACGCGCAGCTGGGTCATCCAGCGCGGTCGGGTCCAGTCTGGTCTGGTCTGGTACGGCCCGGTCTGGTCTGCTCCAGGCAGGTCCGGTCCGGTCCGGTCCGGGTCGGGTCCGGTCTGCTCCGGTCCGGTCCGGTCCTGTCTGGTCTACTCCGGTCCGGTCCGGTCCGGTCCGGTCCAGGTCCGGTCTTCTACGCACCAGTTCAGCGCAGAACGGTTTCCAGTCTGCCCCCGGCCGGCCTAGCCGGCGCTCAATCCGATCTAATCTTATCCAATCTGGCTCAGGATGACTCAGCCCCCGACTCCCCGATATAACATGACAACCACGCGTCCCCGATGACTCAGTCCCCGGCTCCACGATATAACATGACGACCACGCGTCCCTGATGACTCAGTCCCCGACTCCACGATATAACATGACGGCCACGCGTCCCCGACTCCACGAAATAACATGACGACCACGCGTCCCTGATGACTCAGTCCCAAAGCAAAAACACCACAGGGAATATGACCGGACGGTGCACTGAACGTGAATATGCCGCTCCAGCCCAAGTGGCTCGCGCTGCTCAGTTCAAACTTCTGTAAGGTCAATCGTTACGGCCGAGGGGCTGCATTATGAATGGTCGAGGCTACCGCACGCGGCGAATCGGCCAGCGATGGAAATCGATGGCGGTCAGATTGCGGGTCCAGTAGCTCACCGCTCACGGCTCCCACACCGGTTCCCTCATGGATCCCTGGTGGCGGGCGCCGTACGTCCCGAACACGGCATGCTCTCGTGATGTCCTGGGGTGGAATGGTCACTGGTCACCGCCTTCTGGCCACCAGTGCACTCTCCCGCTGTCCTCGGGCGGAAAAGTCAGCACCTTCTAGTCACCATTGTCTGGCCATTGGCCTGCGCCATGGACGTGGCGTGCTCTTCGGATGTCCTGGGGCGTACCACCCTCTGTACGTGAGCCATGCGCGTGGCGCGCTATTCGGACGTCCTAATGGAAAGATCACTAGTCACTACCCTTTAGACTCCGGTGTGCCCGCCGCAGGCCACTAGTCACCACCCTCTTGACTCCTCCGGTGTGCCTGCCGTAGGCCACTAGTCACCCCCCTTTGGACTCTGGTGTGCCTGCCGTAGGCCACTAATCCCCACCCTTTGGACTCCTCCGGTGTGTCTGCTGCAGGTCACCATTCACCCCTCTCTGGACTTTGGGGTGCCTACCGCTCAGCCATCCACCCGGCGGATCTCGCACTCCGAATTGTTCGGAGTTCCCCACGGGGCTGATGCAGCGCAGAACAATGTGTTTGCCTTCCCTTTTCGTCTGCGGAAGGGTCGCAAACACGCACTGATATTTCTACAAGGACATCGACTCAATGACAAAGTGCTGAGCCCAGGCGCTTGTCATGCAATTTTCATCCGTAATAAAAGTATACAAATCGGATCTGAAGTAAAATGATAAAAAAAATCGGGCCTCATGCAACATGATAAAGAAATCAGACCTCATGCAAAATAGTTGTGTCGTGAGTCGAACAAAACCAGACATTTCATTATTCATGTCCGGACTGGCTTGCACCCTTTGCTTTATTCTTATTCTCTTTTCTATGCCTGCCTGCCTGCCTCTTTTATTTTCTATTTTCTATCACATGCTTCTTTATTTTTTACCTCAGAGGCCATTCACCTGCGATCTCAGGTGAGGCGAGCTAGAGCAACGAGAAACGGCGTAGGATATCTTTCGTCAGCCTGTATCAGACATGTGAAATAGAGCAGTGATGAATCCGATCTTTAACATATCGAAAAAATTGTGTCACAACGGCCAGCTAAACTTTTTTAGATGCTTCCCGTTTTCCCAAGAACTTAGCAGGATATGACAATGCAACAACAGAGTGGAATGACTTTTGGAAAAAGTTATCAGATTCGTATCAATGGACAAAGAGGGTGTACTTCACTGCACTGTATTTCATACCGGCACATCTGCCCACACTGGTGGCTGTAAACGCACCACCGCCTTGATCAAAATGAGACGATGATTTAGAAGGGCGGGGGAAGGTATTTGTAGGATGTAAGAGTGAACAGGCCAGGCACTTGGGAAGAAATTGGTATGGGAGAGAATGGATCTAGGGCTCGTCAATCATAAAAGGCGTCAGCACCACAGGCCGCAATATGGTGAGGGTCTAAATGAGTGAAAACAAATGAAGCATGACCATTGATAAATGACGGCGAATCGATCCTCGTTTCTAACTTTCGCTCTCGAATTTGCTCTAAAGGTTTCTTCACGCATTTAAACGGCATATAACGTAAGCTCGCTTCAACATCCACAGACCGTTATTCGGAGTCTGTTGGTTTTGTGTGGTAGAGAATTACGCTTCACCATGTTCACACTTAATTCTTTTTCAGGGATATTTACAACAAACAGTTTATAGTTCTGACACGCACAGTTCAAGACACCATTTTTATCACGTATCAACGTTCTGATGAGATGTTCAGCGGAATGGTGCAATTGGAAAACGTGCAATGGTGCAATTGGTCACGTATTTAGATCCAAACTTTGTGATGAATTTCTTTAATCTCTTCTTCCGACATGTTCACTGAATATCAGAATCGCCGCTTAAAAAATACTCCGAGCTGTCTTATTTCTCGAAATCACCTTGTGACGACGCAATCATTAAAGCAAAGACACTTCGCCACTCTCACTGTGTATTAGTCGAAATGCAGTGTTCTGAAAAACTTCACGCCAACGGCACAAAAGCCGCGCCGTCGGGCCAGCTCCAGCCGGCCGAGCTGTCGCCAACGACTGCACGGACGGAGTAGATGTGACGCTTCATGTGAAGCCGGACAAGTCAGGGATCATAACGCAAAGGCCAGTCCGTTTATATTAAGAACTAGGCAAGCCAGGCAATGGGGAAAGCAACGTCAGAAGGGCCTTTCAAAGCTGCAAGGTACATGTCACTAAGTCCTAAATCCCATCACCTTCGAAGGTCAACTCTGGTCACGAAGGCGAAGTTGGACCACGGTTTATCTGGGATGATCTGGTCTTGATAAGCTACCAAATCTCTCGTAATGCACTTTAGAGCAGTTTAGCTGAGAAAAAATAATATAAGAAGCTTCTATATAGTGTTTTTCTTGTGAGAAATAAGAACTTGAAAATATCCCTCTGAGCAAATTGGCATCGAAATGACCTAAAAAGGTGATAAGTAATGGACTGTGCGGGGCAGAAACCTACAATTTGTGTTCAAAACGATGAAAATTAGGCAAATTTCAGCACCATGTTGCAAGCTTTCAGAAGCTGTCCCGGACCATCTGGTGCTTCTTTAGCACCGCACTCGTAGGACGAGGGTTGAGGGCAAGGAAGAGAGATCTGATGCGCCCATGGCCGTTCCAGGCCACAAATTGCATGCTGTAGCGAAAACCCTATGCAGTGTCGCAGTTTTTCATTGTTAAGCTGACCCGACACTGTTGTTGGGTCGGACGGGGATCACGGTCTTGAGCACGGTGTACAGCTGCACAGTCGCGACTTCCGTGAGAGTAATTAAACTGGTTAGACAGGTATAATGTTAAAAGGGATGCTTTACATTTAAAGATATTGAAGCAAGCATCAGATATGATGGGACAGGCTCACTTATAACCATGAGTGTACTTTTTAAGTGGAAAAACTGTTCTAGACAGCACGATTCCCTCATTAGCAAATTTGCTCCTCAATGCGTCATGGTTTGATTACGTCATCGTATCCTCCACAACATTGATTGAGAGCCAATTGACGGCAATTATATCTCGAAATTGCTCCCACGAACACCAGATCGGAACGCTTTGATAATTATGGTTTTATTGGCCTTGATGGCCGCATACCTTATAGAATGCCAGAATTTCAATGGCTCTATGACGTAATGAATGCCAAGGTGACTTTTAAATACTCTTCCCGATATACTTTCCCCATTTTCACGGCCGTGTAGCTCAGAAGGAAAAAAGCTACAGGGGATTAGGTCTCAAGGGGGGCAGAATTGTATACAGCACCGAAAGGTCTCCCGGATGATTATTTTAGCTCAAAACTACACGTAAATGTGGAACGCTCCCTGTAACGCTGTTGTGAGCTTTAATTGTGTTTGTACATTTGCATACGTAATTCAATCCAACAGGATCAATGTGTGTCGTGCTCGACCAACCGCAGCACGACAGTTAGCACCTCCGCCCAGACTATCGGTGCTCCGATCTGGGGCTTCAATTCCGGTCCCACCTGGGTCAGATCCGATCAGACGTAGATAGTGGTGGAATTCCGTTTCTCCCAGCCGCCGGTCTGGTCCTGACCCCGCCTCGCGTGAGGCTGGCACCTGTTCGCGGCCGGCTGCTGTTGTTGGCCGGCCGGTGCGTGTCCCAGTCGGGCCTCGGCGCCGCCCTGCTCAGCCAGTCGCTCATGTCGGCGGGTGACAGGACACGCCTGAACGGGAGGGGAGGGCGGTAGGCTGCGTTCGGCGGAGCCAGGCCAGGCGGCGCGTCATTCGTTCCCTCGGCACCGTCCAGTGAGCGCGCCCGTCTGTCCGGTGTACCTCGGCGCGCGCGCGGTCCCTCGGCGCCGTCCAGTGAGCGCGTCCGTCTGTCCGGCGGGCCCCGGCGGACCGGCCGTTTGTCAGCCACGCCCCGCCGCCGGCTCCGGCGGTATCGACGCCGGCGGCCGCCAGGTGTCGGCGCCGGCCGCCGACAGTCGGCCGACCGCGACCGAGGCAGGCCCGCCGGCGGCGCCCGCTCCGTCGCCCGCCAGACCGCCTGCGGCAGCACCGCTGCGCCATGGAGACCGTGCCCTCGCTGACGTTCACGCCGCCAGACGAGACCGAGTCCGGGCCGTCGCCCAAGACGCAGCGCAAGACGTCACACGACCGGCGCGGGTCGCAGAACCTGCTGCAGTCGGCCGGCATCGGCATCGAGAAGCGACGCCGCTCCAGCACCGGCCAGTACCGTATCGAGAACAACCAGGTGAGGACGGTGCTCATGTGTCATTGCCGCATCGGGAACAGCCGGGTGAGAATGTCGCTCATATGTCGTTACCGCATCGAGAATAACCAGGTGAAAATAGTTTTCGCATATCAACTACATCGAGAACAGCCAGGTGAGAAGGCGACGTTGTTCAGGCACCGTCCAGAACTACGATGAGAACTACCATGTGCGAGACTCATTTCACAAGAGTGGCAAACAATGCATTAGTGCAAGTGTCTCACAACGCATGGACGTGTGTTTTGCAGCACTTACACGTGCGCAATAAAAATTGGGGTAATTAGCCTCGGCAGGGCTGCACTTAGGGTGATTCCCTCGCGTATTAATCGAAGGAAATGTGGGCGAAAGTCCCATGCTTTCCCATAAGGGAGTCGCGTATGACAGAGCTCGCGTCCTCCAGTTACGCCGGAATCTGCGCATAGCTACATTTGTGCATTTGCGGCGTATTTTACTTTGCTATGGTCTGTTTTAGTAGACCAGCATTGCTGTTGACTTGACACCGAGCCTTCTAAATCAATTTACGGAACTATGGCCACCCAGTACGATCTGTTACGTTGTTTACTATTCACATGCTTGTGGCGTGTTGTAATGCACAAGACGGAAACAAGAAGGGCGCAATGATTGTGTGGCGTGGCAGGAAATCTGGAAATTGAATGCGTTGAAATTGAACGAAATTGCGAGTGAAGTTGAAGTTGAAGCAGCAGATTTTAAGGCATACCGACGCAAGCCGAGCTATGGTGCATCTGGGGATGATGTGGTGATGTGGTGCAGACCACCATCACCACTGCACCGATTCCTCCCCGCTGCCTGCTGCATGCACCAGCCTGTGGCCATGGCTGGTTTGTGATGCTCCATATGGCAGTGAGTGGCTGTTTATAATATGCCGACGAATTCAAACGCAATGCGCCATGGACTGCACGCTCAAGAGGCAGCGCCTTACCATGGGTAGCTCAACATTCGTGAGCCCTGTCTCAACTGGCCAGCAGAGCGTGACCTTTGTCGCGTTCCGATGCTGCAGATATCCTTGGTCACGCGGAGCTTGTTACCTCATAACCAAGGCTGTGAGGACAGCGGAGTGCGTGGGGATAACTGCCGGGCCCTGACTGACGCAGGGACATCAAGCTGCCGGGCCCTGACTGACGCAGGGACATCAAGCTGCTGGGACCTGGCTGACGCAGGGACATCAAACTGCCGGGGCCTGGCTGACGCAGGGACATCAAGCTGCCGGGCCCTGACTGACGCAGGGACATCAAGCTGCTGGGGCCTGGCTGACGCAGGGACATTAAACTGCCGGGCCCTGACTGACGCAGGGACATCAAGCTGCTGGGGCCTGGCTGACGCAGGGACATTTAACTGCTGGGGCCTGGCTGACGCAGGGACATCAAACTGCCGGGGCCTGGCTGACACAGGGACATCAAACTGCTGGAGCCTGGCTGACGCAGGGACATCAAACTCGCCGCGCCACTGTCGAGCAGCTGCGAAACGCTGCCCGTGAAAGAATGGACACGTATGACCACTATGTCCCTCTTAACACAGTAAATATGGGGCCGCTGGAGCCCGCCGACGCCCGAAACACGCGGCCGTCGGAGAAAGCTGCCACGACAAACATTAAGCTGTTCGTGCCGCCGGCTGACACGGCGAAAGCCAGGCTGTTGCAGCCAGCTGATACATCGGACGTAAGGTTATGCTTGGGACCGTCTGACGCAGTGGACGTCATGGACGTGGACACAGTGGACACAGTGGACACACGGACCGGCTAACGCAGTGGACATGGGACCGGTTGTGAAGCGGGCTGGCACCGTGAACGCAAAAGGTCTCTCTGGGTTGCGCGACTGGCCACGGACACGAGATCATCTAGCGATGCGTCCGCACTTTAAGCTTGCTGTGTGGGACGCGGCCACGCCTCCCCGGTAAATGGTAAGGGCCGATGCCGGTTCGATGTCAGCCTTGATGTGGTTTAAATGTGCTGCGAAGCTGTTTTGTGTGGGCAGAACGCAAACTGACCCGAGCGAGACAGAAGTCACTGGAGCCTGGACTCCGTCAACCTCAGTAGTGTTGACGTCAATGGGTTCAGTGGTGTTGACGTCAATGGGTTCAGGGCCATTGATGGCAAGCCCTGTCCACGCCAGCTCGCAGCATTTGCGCCGTACCCATATCCGTTGGCTGACAGTGATGCTTTGCAGGCTGGTAACGTTAGTCTTGAGTGGGCTGGTCTCGCCTTTAGAGCAAGCTGTGCAGCCACGCGAGAGCATGTGTTTTTTCGCGTGTTAAGAAGGGTAAATTTGGATGAGTGCTGTTGGCTTATTGTTTTTGAATGGAATGCTTTACATGTGAAGATAGTGAAGCAGGCATCCGATATGGTGAAACAAACTCACTTATGCTATTGGCATACCTGTTAGAGAGAAAATACTTATCGACTGGCAGTATTTGAGTGACGTTATTGTGACGTCATGAATGTCAAGGTGACTGAAATACTCTTGCCGACATGCCTTTCACCATTTCCGCAGGCGTCTAGTGCAGAAACGGAGGGGGGAGGGAGTGGAGGCTAAGACATTAAGAAGAGCAGGATTGTGAATCACACGAACATGTCTTCAATATGCCTATTTCAGTTCGAAACCCCATGTTAATATGGGACACTCCCTTCGGTATGGCAACATTCACTGTCCGTAGCTGGAAAAAAACGCGGCATAACGCGAATCCGGCCCGCAGCGAACCGACGCTGTTGAAGGCGTGTCTCCTAGCCATGCCCGTTGCTCTGAGTCGAGCCAGACCAGCCCCAGCGCCGTCGTTGCCTGAACGTCCGTGGATCGCCGAGAACGGTCGCGCTGGCCGATCCTCGATCGCGCTGGACGAGAGGAACGCCACGACGACACGATGTGCACCCGTTGTAGGGCTGGACATCGACCGATGCCTCTTTGCCGGGGCTGGTGGGTGTTCGTGGATAGGGGGAGGGCAGCAGTCGATCGCAGTCAGCGTCTGGTACCTGGCTGCCTGTCAGTCCCAGGCCGCGGCCGTCGTGCTGCCGCCGCCGCTGGACGGATCGGGGACATTAGCTCAGCTCGCCCGGCCGGGGAGCCGGTGGCGCGTGCATGTCCGAGTTGGCCGGGCTCGGCTCGAGCCTCAGTAGTGCAGAGACCATGGCAGTAGGTCAGAGCTGAACGATACCGCCGCTCCTGCTGGGACATGGCGAGCAGGCGGCTGCCAGAGATAGCCCGTCACAGGCACACAGTGCGAATCGATCCTCTCCGGCTTCAACGATGGACTGCTCATAGCACGTACCGAGTGGGCCAAAAAAGGTGTGAGCCGGTTGTTGAGAAAATCGTTTGGGTCCATTGACTGGTTCAAAAGCAATCGTTACAACACAGACTGAAACGGGAAGGACGGTGAGATCACTCGCAGAGCGAGATTCGTTATAGTTTGGGCCGCGCCGTGCCATATCTGCGAACGGGCCTAGAACGACCCCTTTGATGCGGCAGGCAACTCCTTGTTAAGGGTATGGGACTGTGCCAGCTCAGCGAGAAGAAATGTGCGCTGTTCTGGGGAGAGACGTGGGTGGAGGAAGACTTCTCATTCTGTTACAAGGCAACATCAAGGCCGCCACATCCTGCTTTTGTTGCCTTCTTTATCTCCAAATTGTTTATGCCGGAGAGCGTGTTTATTGCTCGTCGTAGGACACCCGATGAAGCTAGCTCAACATTCACTCTCCGCGTGCAACATTTTCGTGTTGGGTAAACACATCGCGCCCACCGGGCTACTGCTGGGATCTCCAACAGCAACACGGCCGAGGGTGCGGTTTTGGCCGCTGCCCCTGGCCGCGGCGCCGCTCCAGGCCGCGCGCGGCGACTGCGTCCACGGGCGTTGCCAGCCGGACGCTCCTGCTGGAAGGCACGCTGGACGACTGCCAGTGGGGGCACGACGAGCGCGCGCCGGAGTCGGCCGCGGAGATCGAGGCGAGCGCGCCTGGCGATCTTGCAGCGGCGCGCCCCGCCTGCCGGAACGGAGCGATAAATATATACGCAGTGAGATCATACCGATACGTGCTGAACTGGATGGCGTCCGTGGGGCGCCGAGAGGTGGCGCTGCCTAGCCTGCGTGACAGTGATGTACTGTTCGAGCTCAAGGACGAGCTACGTCCGAGGCACACGCCCGCCACTCGCCGCCTGCGTGTTCCCGGCGTTGCCGCCCGGGTGGGGGGGACGCACATGCCGCAGGCCCAGCCTGTATTGTCCTCGGTAGCCTCGCTACCAACCCCATTGTCTTCGGTAGCCTCGCTGCGCAGCCTATATTGTCCTCGGTAGTCTCGCTGCAGGCCTAGCCTGTATTGTCTTCGGTAGCCTTGCTACAGACGCAGCCTGAATTGTCCCCGGAAGCCTCACTGTGTGCAGCCTGTACTGTCTCCGGCGGCCTCGCTGTGCACAGTCTATACTGTCTTCGGTAGCATTGCTGCAGGCTCAGTCCGTATTGTCTTCCGTAGCCGCGCTCCAGGCTCAGTCTGTATTGTCTTTGACAGCCCCGCTGTGCGCAGTCTGTATTGTCTTCGGCAGCGTCGCTGTGCACAGTCTGTATTGTCTTAGGTATCCTCGTTGCGGGCCCAGCCTGCATCATCTTCAGTAGCCTCGCTGTGCACAGTCTGTATTGTCTTCGGCAGCGTCGCTGTGCGCGGTCTGTGTTGTCTCCGGCAGCCTCGCTGTGTGCAGCTTTTGATGACGCGCGTCCGGCTCTTCTGTACCACGTCCGGCACTTTTTGCAGGTTGTTTACGAGACCGACAATGGAGAGACGGAGCGAATGGAGATCGTCAAAATACACGAGAAGCACGGCAGCTTTCGCAAGGCCATCCCCTATATGCCTATGCCGGTGGCCATAACGCTTTGCGTGTTGAACGTGATAGCACCCAGCATCGGTAAGTACCGAATTCTCCCCCCCCCCCCCCACCCCCCACCCTCACAGCCTGTGAGCGAGCGTATCATGGAGGGAGGGAGAGAGCTAAGGAGGAGTGAGGGGCAATAAACATGATGTGTTTGGCCTGACAGCGAGCTGAGTGAGGTGAACGAGGCACGTGTGCCGTTTGGCAGGGACGTTCTTTCGCCGCAGTGCAGTACAAGTGCACGCACTTACACAGGTGTTTCGTGCAGAGCACGTAGACAGATGTTTGCAGACAATTTCATCACATCTCGTGACATGCGTGAGCAACGAAGGGCGAGCCTCTTTGACACATCAACGGATGAACTAAAGTATCGCCTCAGCTTAATATAGCATTTGATACGATATACGAGGCAATGCTTTATGAAAAACTCGAATGATTTCATTCTGTCGAGTAGCCAGTTGTGAGTGGTCGTTCTGAGAACTCAACTATAGTTCGTCACATTCATTATTCATAGGACGCTTTGTGCGTCGTACGACGAGCGGGGCCATAGCCGTTGCGAGAGCGGTCTGGCGCTTCCACGTACATGATGCGGAAAACTGGGCTGATGAAGCGAGACACCTTTAGCATCCGATACCAACAGGCTCGGCCATTGCCATGGGAAGTTTACCTTTCATGGCATTCAATAAGACAGTTCTAATAACCTCATTCCTGGTAGGATAACCAGGAGAATGTAGAGATGGACGCATGTAGTAATATTGATTAATGACAAATGTATTCAAAAGTACATCTATCTCTCCATTATCCTGGTTATTCCACAACGAACAAGGCAAGCAGTGCTGTCTTATCTATATGCATAACGTTGCTCGCAGATGCACTTAACTTGCGTAATTTCATGATATTCAATATGTAGAGGTCCCATGAGGTACAAATTGCTACGTTGCGAAGAACGTTGCTTGAACATCAGCCGACTGTGAATATTGTGGAGCATGTCAATTTAAGCCGACGAAATCGATGAATTGGCTCTGGTCTGGGGATTGGTAGCATAGGCAAAGTACAACAAATATATAAATAGTTTTTTACGGAATGTTGATCACGTACCCAATTCCGTATTACATGTACTACGTATCTTTGCAATTTGCATGACCCGTTCCCTCTCAATTAAGCCACAGCGTCTTGAATGGGCAGTTGGTTCTGGAGAAGGTGGCATTGGTCTGATGCTGCTTTGAACAGCAGGGGCCACTACATTAGTGTTACGGCAAGAATTCCTACCGGCAGGAGTTCTACATCAGTTATACACGACATTACTTCCACCGCAAAAACTAATACAGACTTTGCTTATACGTGACATTACTTCTACTGCAGACTTATACGTGGCATGAGTGCTACACGACAAAACTTATGCTTCAAAAACTTGTGCACGCCATCACATCTACTGCGAAAACTTTTGCAGTCTTTACGTATACACGACATTGCTTTTAATGCAAACACTCATACACGACGTGGGTGCCGCACGACAAACTTATGATGCAAAAGCACATGCCAGTCATTTCTTCGACAGTAGAGACTTATGCAGTGATTAGTTATATAGATTACTCCATCTTACTACGAGTAATAGGTGACATAAGTGCTACACAATACAACTTGAAAAATAGTGAAAAACTGTGAATAGTGATACAGGCCATAACCCGCAAATAACAACCGTCAGCACTCCAAACCGCAGGTTAAGCCTCACTAAAATCCGTCAGGCAATGACCTCATGGCAGCACTTGGCTGGGCGAAATCCGACTGCATGTGCCCACTCCATGGTGTGGACACATTATTATCGTAAATATTGCAATAGACATACCTACAGAGGAAACAGTTCTTGTTTTTCAATAGTTCGACATTTTTGCAGCTGAAAACGTATGGTGCACTGTCATAATGTTCAATGAAATTGGGTTCAAGCAGGAAAAACGGCTCGATCTACCCCAAAATGCAAAACATGGCGTTTGCCCCGAATGTGACGCACCTTCCTCTCAGAGTTGAGGGGCGGATTGAGTCGCCGACGGGAAACGAAACTACACTTCTGGCTTGGCATTCACTGGAACACGACATTATTTCTAGTTTGCGCCCGTCATTAGCATTTTGCCACCCAAACCGCAGTCTTTGTCCAAACGCCTACACCGCAGATCTAAAGAAAACACGTGATATAATGATTGTTTCGTATCAGCACCACATACATTTCATTGTAGTAGCCCAGTTGGAGTTCCCTCCTGATCTGTGAATGACTTCTACACCCCTGCTAGGTGTCCACGAATTTGACACTTCACAGCAATCATTAGAAGTAGAGGTAATTAGCGTTTACGTAAAAGCTATACAAAATTCTGTATTCAAAGTCATGACAATTTTACATTCTTAAAGCACTATTCTGTAGTGTACTACTTATGTTGCGTACAGTTGTTGTGCATTGGAATCATCGGACTGCATGAGCAGCAGAGGCAATGACGAATGCAAGTTTTTGAAGCACAAGTTTTGTCATGTAACGCTTATGCCGCTTAGAAGTCTTCGAAATCGGAGTTCAGTCCCGTATAGGAAATGGTAATGTAAGTTTCTGCTGTAATATTAATCAAGAGCATTCGTTTTTGAAGCATGCGTTCTGTCGTGTAGCACTAATGTCGCGTGTACATTTTGTGGTAGAAGTAATGTCATGTATAAGTAATGACCGCATAAGTGCTTGCTGTAGAAGATATGGCGAACATGAGTTTTTGCAGCAGTCACGTCGCACTAACGTCATGTGTAATATGGGCAGCAGAAGTAATGTCGTAGCAATCCTATCGGTGGGAGCTTTTGTTGCAGCACCAGTGTCGCGTAACCTTTGCCATTACGGGCGTCCATTTATTTTCCGTCAGGCTGTTAATCTAGCATCGCCGTCGTGCCAGGTCATTGAGACCTGTCCGATTTTGACCCATGTTCAGTTTTTTTTCGCAATTTGATTATTGAATTTCCATGGTAATCAAGTGGATGTTATCGGTCGTGATGACATTGCCACACTGCAGAACTGGCCCGTCTGATCGAACAGCTTGCACGCATATGCCTTGCAGCTAAACAGCACACCTTTAAAAGATTACGCTTCCTGTTGCGGAAGTCTACATGGATCCTCATCTGCAATCAGTGGTTGCAATCAAAATTAGCCTCTAGCCTCAAGAAGCCTTAGCCTCCAGAAGCGGTCACCGCCTGGCCGGGCCGAACCTCGTCGAACCTCTCCAGTTGGAAATGGCATTAATGGGTGAAGTTGCGGACAGAGTAAGCCTGTGACTCGAACTGTGAGAGAGCTTTTAGCTTCAGTAAGGTCCGGCCCGACCCCGAAGTTCGCTGATCGTAGCTTCACGGAATGTCCAGCAACAAGAAGTGCATTATTTTAAGTGCTGTATAAAACTGTTGGGCATCCGTTAACAAATTATATAATCAAGTGCTTTTTTCATGTAGTATTGTGGCGATGTGCTTCAAAATTAAGCTACGTTAGCCTGTGAACAGCGCGTTCAGTTACCAAGCAGCAGAAGTAACCGATGGCTTGTTTTGCTGTTCATCACCGATGGCTTGTTCTACCGTTCATCACCGATCGCTTGTTTCTCTACGGTTCCACGACATAAGTGCCACAGCAAAAGCTCCTGTCGACGGGGGCGCTACGACTTGATGTCTACTGCCAATATTTTGACGCATTTCTGCCACGCGACAAAACCTATGCTGCAAAAACTAGTACCTGCCATTACTTCTGCTGCAAACACACAGTTATTACTTAAACCCATTACTTCTGCCGCAAAAACTCATCACGTGACATTAGTGGTACATGACAAGATGTATACTTCAAAAACTTATACCCGCCGTTATCTGTGCTGCAAAAAAGTACGGAGCCATTCCTTATACACCACACTACTTCTACTGCAAGCGCTTCTACGTGACCTTAGCGCTATACAGCAAAACTTGTACTTCGACAATGCATAATTGTCATATCTTTTGCTGCAAAAATTTGCACAGTCTACTTATGGCTGACATTACTCCTACTAATAATGCTGACCGTGGAGTGCAAAATGCCCGTACACCTAGCAGGGATGCAGGAAAAAATTACAGCTTAGGAGGGAACGTCAACTGGGCGGTACTAAATAACATGCTCGTGGCGCTGATGCGAAATTTATCTATGTATTATGCTAAGTACTTTGGTCGATTTCTAGGCTTGGCGGATGAGCAAAGGCTGTATTTGTGGCGGCAAAATGTAAGTGACGGACACATTTTTTTAATAGAAGTAACATCACGTTTCAGTGGGCACCAGACCAGGACTGTTGCTTCATATTCAGTCGGTCACCCAATCCGCTCCCTTTATGTGATAGCAAGGTTTGGCATATTCGGGGCAAGCGCGGTGTTTCATGTGTTTCGGGCAGGTTTGGCCGTTTTTCTCTGCTTAGCCCGCGAGCTTGTTTTGCAACAATGCGACAGCACACCACACATTTTCAATAAAAAAGCGTCGCGCAGACGTATTGTCGTCGCGGACTGTCCATCGCAACATTTACTGAAGCAGTGATGTGTCAACATCAAGGGGTGGGCATCTGCAGTCTGATTTTGACCAGTGAAGTGCCCCCGTGCGTTCGTTTCCTACAGGATTTTAGTGAGGTTTTACCTATGAGTTATGGTGTATGGGATGGAGTACCCGCGATGGTCATTTATGGGTTATGGCCTGTATCGTGTGACACAAATGTAACATATAAGTATTGGCCGAAGAAGTAAAATCGCTGACAAGGAAAGGATGTATACGGTTTTTACAGTAGCCATACATGTGTGATGAGATGGGCTGTTCTGTTGGTAGCACCGAAACTGTCTGCGTCTAGACTAGCTTTCAAGAAACAACGACGTTCAGGGCATCACAATGTTTGTACTTCCCCATGGCAGGCATCTAGGATCGGTCCTGTCGGCGATGGGTCACCCAACCTTTTATTCGAGGCATTATAGCTTTTATTTTTCGTAGGCGCCAAATACAAACGGATTATTGCAACGACTCCAACATT